CCTTCCCTCTCCAGAGCAACCTGGGTGACTGAGTGGACTGGGAGACAACACAAAGTGACCTGCCCTGCTGGAAGCGGCTGGGTCCCCAAAACCCGGATCCCAGGAGCCTGGGATGGTGAGCCAGGAAAACACATGAGCTCCTTGGGGCACTGGGTGGGAACCAGGTTTTCACCTCCAGGAACCTCACTGTCAAAAACTATACCTGTGACCCCTGCAGGACAGCTTGGGATCACTGACCACGTGGTGCTGGACTTGCCTTTTGCAGACCCCACCACAAAAGGGACCAGCTGTTCTCTGCCCCCAGGGATACAGGCCCTATCTCCGTCCTACCTAGCCATAGCTCTAAAAGGGATAAATGTCCTTTTCCCCTGCCTTGGCTTTCCCCTAGGCTGAGTGGGTGCCCATTGCCCATGGAACCCATAGGCACCCAGGAGCACCGAGAAGTTACTCCACTTGCCCAGCCTGCCCTCAGGTACGGCTGGAGCCCAGGACAAGCGCGCAGACCAAACTGAGACCCTGAGGCTGGCTGTGTGGGTGCTGTCCTTCCTCCCAGGCCTGGGGACCTGGGGGAGGGGCCCCGAGGAGCCTGGCAGCAAGTGCGAGGTGGGGGGCCGCCGTGCGAGCAGAGGAGGTGGCGGCGGGGAGCGACAAGCAGAGAGCAGAGAGGAGGCGTGGGGACGCAGCAGGACACACATGCCACTTGGGCGACGTGGTCACCTCCGAGCCAGGGTGGCAGTGGCTGTGGGAGAGAAAGGTTAAGGGACGCACAGGAGCAGGTTAAGAAAGCAGCGGCCAGCAAGGAGGGGGAGCCAGTCACAGGGCGGGGCCCTCACTGTCCATCCCCACCTGGCCCTGCGACATAGGGTGGGCAGAGACCCTGGGGAGCATGCACGAGGACACAGTTCCATCCCATCACCACAAAACCCGAAATAAAACAAACAAAACCCCCCACTTGCAGATGTGAAACTGAGTCAAAAGTACAGGCCAGGCTTGAAAAGCTTTGTGCTACATGCAGCCCTGGTGGTTTAGACAAGAGTTTGCACCCTCTGGACTCTTGGAGGTGGGGGTGGGGTTACTGCCCATGAAGCATGAGCAGGAGTCAGGGAACTGGGTCCAGAGATGCACTGGGAGGCAAAGCCAGGCCTGAGGAGCCCACAGTTCAGTCCTTCCCAGCCCAGAGGGTCACGAGGCCAGGCAGGGCGAAGGGTAGTCGTCAGTGGGGTTGGGGATAGTCTGTCTGTGGTGGGTGATGGGGTTGGGGTGGAAGCCAGGGTCGGGAAGGGACCAGTGTCTAAGTGTGTGCACGTGGAGAAAGCAGAGGGGAGGGCAGTAAGTGCACCGGGCAGGCAGGCCATGGGGAGAGTGCGCGCGCGCCGCTTGGGGGCGTGACCAGCGGAGGGGCAGCCACGTCAGGGCAGGAGGCGTGGCCAGTCAGAAGCACGGTCAGTCAGTAGGCGGGGCCAGTCACAGGGGCGGCTCCAAAGCTAGGAGGCAGCAGAACAGGGGATGCGGACGCCGCCAACGGCGCCCACTGACCTCGCACTTGCTGCTCGAGGCTCAGGATGACCGACACAGCCTGGTGCAGGATGAGCAGCTTGGTCTGGGGCTTTTCGCTGTTGAGGTGCAGCTGGCACATGCGCCCCAGCTCCTTAAAGGCCTCATTGATGTCCCGCACCCGCAGCCGCTCGCGGGCATTATTGGCCACCCGGCGCTCCTTCTCCCTCTCGGCCTTCTGCTCTGGGGGGAGAAGGTCGTCCTCGTCCTCGTCTGGGCTATGGGGGAGGGGGGCCAGGGGCCAGAGGGAGACAGTGAGGCGGGGCGGCGACTGGGGGCTGGGGCAAGGGGCGTGGGACGCAGGGGGCTGGCACCTGGTCCGCGCTCGTGGGGCCTTCAGCTCCTTCTTCTCCTCCTCTGCGGGGTCAGCGGCTGATGTGTTTTCCTCATCCTCCTTCTCCTCCCGCTTGATCTCGCCTGCGCCCACCACGGCACCTGCCCGGCCCAGGCCTGTAACAAGTCCTAGGTCAGGGGCTGTCTCCTGTGACTCTCCTGTGGCCACAAGCCAACCTGGGATATCCAGGCCTTTGCAGAAAGAAAAGAACCCCAAAATGATCAACAAACTGGATTTCTACCTCATCATACACAGGTACTAGTTCCAGAGTAAGAACTTGGGGACACTTATTTTGACAGTGCTGGGGGTTAAAACCTGGATCTTTGCACTGAGCTACATCCCTAGAGCTTTTTACTTTTTTAAAGATTGGTCTAATTATATAGTTCAAGCTGGCCTTGAACTCACTATGTGGCCCAGTTGAGGCTCAAATTCACGGTGATCCTCCTGCCTCAGCTTGACTGTGGCTCCCATTTTTTTTGGTACCAAAAATCCAACTCAGGGCCTTGTGCTTGCCAGACGGGCACTGTGCCGCTCAACTACACACTCAGCTCTCATTTTATATTTTGAGATAGTCTCAGTAAATTGCCTAAACTGGGCTCAAACTTGTGATTTTCCTGCCTCAGTCTCTGAAGAGTGCTGTAATGGCCAGGTGTGTGCCATTGGTACATCCTGCTCCCTGGGTTCAATTCTCAGGACCACCAAAAAAAGAATCCAGAGACGAGAAGGTATTCATAATGAAGTGTAAATAAGAAAGGACTGGTCTCCAAAACATGCAAAGAGGAACTGGGCGTGGTGGCACACAGGCCTGTCATCCCAGCACTCTGGATGTTGAGACAGAAGGATCTATGAGTTTGAGACAGGCTCACAAGTGAGCACAGGGCCAGGACAAACTACACAGTGAGAGCCTGTCTCAAAAAAAAAAAAAAAAGTAGGGGCTGGGGAGATTGCTCAGTAGAATAAGCGCTTCCCTGGCAAGCAAAAGGGCCTGAGTTCAATCCCCAGTTCCACACACACACAAAAAGTAAAAATTAAAAAAATCCCCAAAATATGCAAACAACTTCACAAGAGAAAAGTGGATTCACAGAAAACCAAGGACAGCACCTCAAGAAGCTGTTTAACACACAGAAACCCTCATCACACCCAGAAACTAAAGAAATGCAAATCAGGACTATAACAAAACAACTGTCTCAAACCCAAAAGCTGGCAAACCAAGGAGCCTGGCAATGCCCATGCACTGCTGGTGAAGTTTCCTCAGCAGCCCCACTTCCTAGCATGGCTCTGGAAGGTGGGCGCTTAGGCACCAGTGCCACCACACCTGCTTCAAGAGTATCTCCCACAGGTGGCCTGGGGATGCACACTGGCAGAGGGAAGCTGACTTCAAGCCTAAGAACCAGTCCCACAGGGTGTACCCTAGACATCCAGGAACCAGCTGCAGATACCACCTTAGAAGAGACAGTTTGGTGTGAGGACTCTCAGCCACACTGAATTCAGCTCTCAAGATACCCTCAGCAAAATGCCAACTGTGAACTAGCCCAGCGTGCAACAGACAAGCAGACAAGGAAGGGGCCAGATGACTTGTAGGTGAAGGACTAAAGCCAGGAGACCCTTTGGCACTGCTGACTCTGGGGGTGGGTCATTCTGAGCACTGTAGGATGCTGGGCAGCACCGCTGACTTCTAACCTCCCCACAGCTGCTGGAGGGCAGCAGAGACAGCACCACTGCCCACAGCCCTTCATGCCTCTCATCTCCCTCTGGGCCAAAGCTGGTGTCCTGCCCTGCATGACCCGCCTGTCCTGTCTCCCTCCCCCCCTCCCTGTTCCAGCTATGTGGGTCTTTAACGTATCTGCCACCAACCTGCCCAGGGCCTTTGCACAGGCCCTGCCCTCTGCCTGGGACTCCTTCTGGTACCCACCCATACTTACCCCTTCCCAAACTGTGCTTAATATTCCCTCCTCTCCTGGATACCACTGAGGCTAAGCATCCTGATTTCCCCTTTGCCTCCATTTCAACAGGGCCTTGGCATTGAGCTGCACCCTATCCCTTTTTATTTTAACACAGGACCATACCAAGTCACTGAAATGCCCAGGCTGGCTTAAAACTTGCCATCCTGCCTCAGCCTTTTAAATGCAGGGCCAAAAGAGGTGTAGCACAGTACCCAACTTCTACTCTGCCTTTTGTTCCCTGAAGCCCCAAACAGTACCAACACCACACATGCTCCCATTCTGTACCAAGAGGCTCAGCACAGAGTGAATGTGTGGGCACAGCCCAGGCCTGTTGTCTGCCTGCGCCCCACACACCAAGCCCTGGGTCACTGGCACCTCCAAAGGGAAAACAGCCATGGCTTTTCACCTCAACTGCCCGAGAGTCAGAGCCAGCCTCCCCACCCCATGCTGTGAAGGAGCTGACTCTGGCCTGGCCTGGCCAGGTCCTGGGTGCCTTGTCGTGTTTCTGTGCCTTGGTTTCCCAGCTGCAGATCCAAGCCTGCAGCCCCTATAACACCTGAAGCTAGAATAAAAGACTCACCACTGTAAGAGTCAGATGGCCGAGCAAGGTCTGGCAAGGTACCAGGCTGGCTGGGGAGGGCCGTGTGGTTGTGCAGGAGGCTGGCACTGCCCGCAAGACCATCCTCAGAGTGGCCACCCCCGACCTATGGGAGGAAGGGCCGGGGACATGAGGCAGGGACAAGAGGCCAGCCTCCTGCCACCCTTCCTGCCCTTCCCTCCCTGACACTCACCAGGCCTGTGTGGCGCCCGCCCACTGGCACAGGGCCAGCAAAGCTCGAGGCCAGAGCGCCATGGCTGGGCAGCAGGCTGTGCATGTCGCCCGCTGTGCCCACGGCATGGCTGCGGAGCACGTGGATTGCCTCGTCCAGGTGGTCCTCCATCTTGTTCTGTGTGGGGGTGGTGGGCAGTAAGAGCCTGGACCCAAGGACCCATGCACACAGCACATGGTCACTGCCCTCTTCCTAACATTCTTAGTGTTTTCCAGTGTATCTTTAACTTGTCCAGGCTGGCCTCATACTTGGATTTGGGATTCTCCTGTCTCAGGCTTCCAAGTAGCTGACATGTATGCCCAGGTATGCCCTACCCTTTCTAGACATCCTGTCAAGGGCCACCCATCCCATGGCAACTCTGCTGGTCACAGGGACCTGAGGTGCCCTCGCAAGGCACGGCAGACACAGCTGATCACCTCCAGCCTCTTGGTGGGCAGGGAAGCTCACCAGGCCATGGAGTCCCCCATCGTAGCTGGGTGATAAGGCACCAGGGGCTCCTGCGCGGGGCCACTGCGACGTCCCTGGAAGGAGGGACACGAGACAAAGAGGCGTAGGCATAGGAGCAGGGAGGGAGGATTTTGCAAGCAACTGGGCATGGACTTGTGATCCTCCAGCCTCAGCCTCTCTGAGTGCTAGAAGACAGATACAGACCACACCTGCCTATAGCCTGGGCACTTTGAACACAGCCCCAGGGATTGCTAGATGCGCACATCACTGAGAAGAGCCAAGGCAATGTCCTCCAGAGAGCCTGCCCAGATGGCCTGGGAGGAGATGAGCTCACTGTAGGACCCCCTGCTGCTCACTTACCAGCCAGGCCATGTGGAGAGCCTGCAGGGGTCGAAGGGGTTGGCGAGAAGTTACTGCTGGAGTGGTCTGGGGAGTAGATCTGAGTGGGGATGGGACAGAGCAGCAGTCAGGATAGACCTGTGCAGTAAGGTCACAGCCACCCTGACCCCCAGGGCCCCCACCTCACCGAGGCCAAGGCCTTCCCAAGGGCGTCCCCCGAGCTGCCAGCTGAGGTCCCACGGGAGCCTGTGGGTGGAGAGAGGTGAGGCCCAGCCTCTGCAGTGGCTGCTAGCCTGGATGCCCAGTGACAGACCCTGCTCCTGTACACAGCTACCCAGGCCAAGGGTAGGCAGAGGTGCCCCACCCTAGATCCGGTGGCTGTAGAACCCATGACATCTGCCTCCTTGGGGTGAGGCAATGGGGACCATTGTGGGTCCTCAGGAGACAGCAAAGGGGCCCAGTGCACGCCCCAGCACCTACTTCCTCTATCCAGTATTCCTGTACCTAGGAGACTGTCGGCCCCAGACACGGGAGGCGTGTGGCTGGAGACACTGCTGTAGGTGGCTCCAGGCCCCGAAGAGAAAGAGGCCACAGCTGGGAGGGTACCATTCCCCTCGGCTCCGTGCAGCTGGTAGCCCTGGTTAGGCAGGGGCTGGTCAGGAAGCGGGGAGATCATCAGAAAGGTAGGGACGCCCCACTGCCCTCCTACCCAGCCTACCAAGCGTTCAGGCTGCTGGAGACCGCTGAATGTGCTGCTGCCCACAGAGCTGCTTGCACCGGGTGCCAGGGGCAGGGGGGACGAGGTGCCACCCAGCATGGGCCCAAAGCCCGCCTGGCCTGGAGGGCTCCAGAGCTCTGCTGAGGGGTGCAGGCTGCCGTCTGCCATGTAGAAGGGGGTGGGGTAGGTGCTGCCTGGGGTCTTGTCGGAGGAGTAGGCAGCGTCCCTACCATAGTCGTCACCTGAGCTGGGGGGGTACACCTGTGGGTGGGCAGGGGAACACTCAGGCAGGAGGCCACAGCCACCCATCAGTATCCCCAACCCACTTCCTGCCCTACCTCTTTCCTTGTAAGACATCCCAACTGTGCCTATATCCCAGCCCCTTGTCCCAGAGGCAGATGTGCTATTGGCCTCCTGTCCCTCTCCTCTTTCTTTCCCATCTACTTTTCCCTGCCTCCTTCCCTTCAAAGTTCTAGCCTCACCTCAGACTGGCTTCTGCTCAGAACAGCTTTTCCTTCCTTCAGCAAACTCCTATCAAATCATCAAAGCCCTAGCTCGAATCTCTCACCTCTCCCTTTGTGTGCCACCTTAGATCCTCCATTCTGAGTAACATTCCCTGGCCTTAAGCCCCAACCACAAAGACCTGGGGTCTCAGGGGCAGGGCCCTGGAGTAATGTCTGTGCATGGCTGACCCTAGATAGGTCAAAGGGCATCTACTGCTGCCTGGAGCCCAGGCTGGGCTCAACATAGGACAGTGATGGGGTCCAGTTGATGCCAGTTGGGCCAGGTTTGTAGAGCTGAGGGAAGTAGGGAGACAGCATGAATCAAGACAACTTGAATCCTAAAACAGCTTGGGTGTCACCATGATCCCGAACCAGTGCAAGTGGGAACAGGGTAGCATCATTACTCAGACCCAAGGGAGTGGGGACAACATGTAGTAGTGTCCCCAGGATGCCCTGCATGCTGAGCCCCACAGCCCCTATCAACATGGCCACAAGATCAACTATGCGAGAGATGAAGGCTAAGGGCAGGTTTCCCTACTGCTCCTCAGGCCAGGGCCATGCCTTGGAAGTACCCTCTGGGCTGCTGTGACCCCTGGCCTTGAGGACACAGACACACAGGTACACGGGGTCCCCCAGAGCCCCACTCACCGAGGAAGGAAGACCAGGCGGGACCTTCCGGCCCTTCTTGGGCTGTGAGTCTGCACAAGGAAGAGGAGTTAAGGTCTCTGTGGCTGCCCTCACGGCTCATTGCTCCAGGCACAGCCCTGTGCTACCCAGGAACCCCCAAGCCCGCCATGCACACGACTCATCATCTAGGAGCTCCCTATGAGCCCAGAAAATCATGTGATGAGAAGGCCACCCATAGTCACCCTCACGTCACACACCCGGCCCTACAGCTCATGGGATCTATGTGCAAAGCCACTACCGCAGTCACACTGGCAATGCTGAGCTGGCATGAGAGATCCCTTCCCCACCACTCAGGGACAGGCGCAGAGCAGCAGTGAGTCCCTGACATCATGATCCCCACTGAGGCTGGACAAGGCCAGGCGTAGTTGCTCTGTTCGGCTCCCATCCAGGGCCTCTCACCCTTGCTCAAAGGGACCTCACTGTTCAAACTGCTCCAGCAGTAGCACCCCTCAGCGGCACAGAGAGGCTGCCAGGCACCTGACAGAGGGCCCCATGTGTGGGAGCTGTGTCTCTGAGAGACAGCACCTTTGGCCTCAGGCTCAGGGACATGGGGACCTGGCACTAGACAGTGTCTGCAGCTACAAACAACGCAGCACAGCTCCTGGGAACCAACCTGGCTAAGGTTCCAGGGGCTGTAGGGGCTGGGACATCAGGAACCACAAGGTTCAGCCATATCTGCTCTTCTCTGCCCCTCCCACCTGGGACTGGCCAGAACCTGAAGGCAGATGTCCGTGGCAACTCCCATCTCCTTGGCTAGCAGGAAGATATGCAGCGAGCCCCAGCAGCCCCATCTGCCTGCCGCACCCCACCCCACTTACCTAGGCCACTGTCTGCGGCTCTCCGCCGGGAGTTGCTGGGGAATGAGGGGTAATACGCCGGGCTGCCCTTGACACCCGATGGTGACAGCGGCCCAGGGCTGCTCAGGGCCAGCTCTCCTGGCAGGAAGCCAGCCTGGTGGGGAGGACAGGTCATGGGGGCGCTGGGCTAGCCAGCTGTTTATAAAACCCACTAACTGCAAAGCTCAGGGCCAGTCAGACATTTCTCAGGGTGACCAGCCCAGGCTGAGGGCAACCTCTGGCCTGTCTGTGAACCAGCTTTCCCCACATCTGCCCTGTTCTGGGATCCAAGGCACTGTGGAGGTCAAGCCTCGCTGTCATCTCCATGAGGACGACAGAGAAAGAGCCAGGGCAGGTCCCATGGTGTGTGCCTGTCAGCCCAACACTCTGGGAGGCTGACACAGGAAGGTGGCAAGTTCCAGTCTGTCCTGGGCTACTTGGCAACTTAAGAGAGACCCTGTCTCATAATACAAAATAAAAAAGGGCTCAGGATGGACCTTAGTGCATAGGCCCTGGGTATAATCCTGAAGTACAGCAAGTGGGGGAAAGAAGAAAAGGGGAGTGGTCAGAGTGCTCAAGGGCCCGCAGCACTCACCTGCGTCAAGCTGCTGACACCTGCTTCTCTCCCGAAGGCAGGGTATGTGCCCCGCTCACCACCCTTGCCTGGAGGGAGTGAAGAGGTCATCTGAGCAGCCCCCAAGGATGGCCGCACACAGCAGGCCCTCAATTAGTGTAGAAGACAGGAGCAAAGCATATGCCCAGAGCCTGCCAGGTGCCTCCAGTTTACCTAGAGCTGGGTGGGATGACGGGGTTCCTGTGCTGTCAGGAGGCCAGCTGCACACAGAGCTGTCTGCAGCCCTGGGTGGGTGGCCCAGTGCTGCCTGTCCTTGAACACCCCCTGCCCTTGCCCAGTTTCCTGTTACAGGGATAGGTCTGGGGCCTCTGCTGGGAGCTCAGGAGCCTGCGCTGTACAGCCGGTGGCCCAGTGTCCAAGGCCCCAGCCCACAAGCTCACGCCCTGCCGGGGCCTGACAACAGAACACCTTGGCTTTCTGGCCTCCAGTCACCCTGAACCAACATCTACCCCATGTTAAGTCATGAATAGCCCCCTCCAGGTGCTGATTCAAACCACTGGGCAAGGCATGGGTCTGGGGTAACAATGTGTAGACAGACTTTTGTCATAGCAGGACACTTGGATCCAACCAGACTAAGGAGGCTGAGCCAGGAGCACTGCTGCAAATTCAAGGGTGTCCTAGGCTATGTAGCAAATTCAAAGGCTGTCCAAATTAACATAGGGAAGGGCCATCCAGATAGCTCAGTGGACTAAAGCGCCTGCTTAGGCAAGTGCTGGAAGACCAGGGTTTGATCCCCATGCCTGCTGGCCCCACCCCCAGGGCACACGGAGACAGCAATTGAGATTGGGCGTGGTGGTGCAAGCTCATAATCCCAGTGTTTGGGAAGCAGAAAACAGGAGGATCACAAGTCTGATCTGTGCAGTGAGACCCTGTACTAAATATAATTTTATTTATTTACTAAATATATTTTTAAAAAATAATAAATTACATAGTGAGACCCTGCCTCAGAAACAAATAAGCTGGGCATGGTGGTGCATGCCTATAACTCCAGCACTCAGGAGGCAGAGACAGGAGGACCAGCCTGGGCTACTTTGCGGCTAGCCTGAACTGCATCATTTCATTTTGAGAACCTGTCTCAAAATAAAGACCACAGTCCTGCCCACAGGGCGCACTCAGACAGCCATTGAGACGGGGTATGCTGGCAGGCGCCTGTAATCCCAGTGCTTGGGAGGCTGAAAAACAGGATCACTACGAGTCTGATCTGTGTAGTGAGACCCTGTAGATCCCATACTAAATACATTAAGCAAAGATGTAAATAAATAAATAAGCCCATTTTTTTTTTTTTTCCAGCGGAACCAGGGATTGAACTCAGGGCCTTGCACTTGCCAGGCAAGCGCTTATTCTACTGAGCTATCTCCCCAACCCAGGCCCCAACTTTTTAAGAAATGCAGAAGCAAAACTGGACATTAAACTTAAGGTAAAGGGTGTGGAAATAGCTCAGCAGTCTAAGCACCTGCCGTGTTGGGCTGGCCACCGAAACCAGGTGTGGTGGCATCCACCTGTAATCCCAGCACTGGGGAGGCTGAGACAGGAGGATCATTAGGAGTCCCTGTACCAAATAAATAAAAGATTTAAAAAAAAAAAAAACTTGTGGAAAACAAGCCTTGTTATGAGGGAGGAGCGGGAAAGCATGGTCCATCCATTTGAACAATCTCAAAGTAAGAACAAAACTAAAATCAAAACAGATCAAACATCTAAATATTAAACATTAACTCTGCTGGAAGATAGAATAGCTAAAACTCTTCAAGACATAGGTGTACGCAAAGACTTCATGAACAACCCCAATTGTACAGGGTCTATCACAAAATATCAAGAACGGAGACCTCATTAAAAAGCTTTTATACATCAGGGCCGGGGAGATGGCTCAGTGTAATAAGTGCTTCCCTGGCAAGCACAAGGGCCTGAATTCAATCCCTGGTTCCGCCAAAAAAAAAAAAAAAAAAAGCTTTTACACAGCAAGACCAACAACACAGTGAAAAGATAACCCACATATTATGTAGAATGCATAAAGAACCAAATCAAGCCTCTCAAATTTATAAACCCAATTCAACAATTGGCATCTGAGAAAAATGAATATACATTTCCCGGGTGAAGAAATGCAAATAAATTTTTAAAAATTTCAATATGGCAAATCATTTGAGAGATACAAATGAAAACAATGCTGAGATTCCATCTCACCCCAGAGTAGGGGAAAGTAAACAAGGAAAAAGAAAGAGGAAAAATACTAGAAACAAAGCTTCTGTAAATGGGGAGAGAAGAGGCTGAAGGACAGATAGGGGAACAGGACAAAAGCAAATTACATCATGTACAGGTACAAACTCTATGATGAATGTAATCGTTACGTGTATCTAAAAACGTACCAGCAGGAGCCGGGGATAAGCTCAGCAGCACAGGCACCTGCCTGGCAAGAGCAAGGTGCTGAGTTCAATCCCTGCTCCCCCTGCCCCAAATCTTAACTACTAATTTCTTTGCAATGTAATATTATTATTTTTATTTTTATTTTTTTTTTAAATTTTTATTTATTTATTTGTGTGTGTGTGTGTGTGTGTGTGTGTGTGTGGCCAGCTCAGCCCACCAGGGGGCTGGCTGGCTGGCATGTGGTGCTGGGGGATTGAACCGTGGTCCCTGTGCTTTGCCTAGCTTGTTCTAAGTAGGTGCTTTAGACCACTGAGCCATCTCACCAGCCCTTTTATTTTTATTTTTATTTTATTTTTTTTTGCGGAACCGGGGATTAAATTCAGACCCTTGTGCTTGCCGGGGAAGCACTTATTCCACTGAGCCATCTCCCCGGCCCTTAACTACTAATTCCTTTACTTTGAAAAAAAATGAATCCCAGAACCAGTACTACTAGAGTCCCACTTTACCACCTCGTATAGCTGTAAGCCTAGGATAGACAGGACAAGAGGGTGTGCTTTCTGCATGTGCCACAGGAACTTTCCCAGTACCCCACCCAAGGACTGAGGAGGCCAGTGGCTGGGGTCACCTTTCCCCAGGGCTCCAGGGACTCTGCCTACCCTGGCTCCCAGCGCCCAGCATGGGGGGAGGCAGAAGGGCTAGACCATGGGGCTGGTGAGATGGCTCAATGGTCTGAAGCACCTACTTGGAACAAGCTTAGCAAAGCACAGGAACCGAGGTTCAATCCCCAGCACCACATGCCAGCCTGCCCCGCCCCCTCGTGGGCTGAGCTGCCCCCCGCCCCCCACACACCCAGAACACAGCAGGGCTGGGGCTTTGCTGACCAGATAGCCATGGAGACTGCCACATGGGCTGTGCCCAGTGGCCCCCAGGCCAGCAGGAAGCCAGGCAGGAGTTGGGGGAAGGAATGGGCAGTAGAAGGGAAGAGACAGCCCCAGCTGCAAACCCTTTCCTGGGTGACAGCGGGAACAGAGCCCCTTATGGATGCTCAGCCACGCGCTCCCCTCTCTCCATGCCACACACTTTCCACTTGAGTCACCAGTGCTGATTGTGCTTTGGCTACCCCAGAGTTCCCTGGGCCTCAGTTTCCCCAATGACACACAGCCTAACCCCAGTACCGATGTTAAACCCAGCAACAAATTCAGGGTTCCTGGCCTTGACTGTGTTGCCAGGACACACCCTGGGGTCCCTGGCAGGAGGGATGGAGGCCCAGGCTGCAGCTTGAGGGCTCTGGAGCATGGAGCCAGTACTTCTGCCCAGCCTCAGTTTGTCCATCTGTGAGATGCTGTGAGCCTCCACAGGCAGGTGAGATGGCAACATAGGGGACCACTAGGAAGGCTTGGAGATCCCTGTCCCATGGGAGGGGAAACTGAGGCTCCAACATAGATACAGTCCTGACTTGCAAGATGGTGACCTTCCAAGGGCCACAACCAGGTGCAGATGGGCTCCACCTCCCACAAACAGGACTTGAGCCCAGGCGGCCGTGTCCTGACCAGTGCCCTGTGCCCAGCCACAAAGCAGGCACAGGCAAGGACCAACCCCAGTGCCCTGGGTCAAGCTGAGCCACACTCACCTCCAAGCCCAGATCCCAGGAACACGGATGCTGAGAGGCCACCATGCGAGTCACTGAAGTGGGCACCTTCGCTGTAGGTCTGGGGAGATGGCAGGGGTGAGGGGGCTAGCACCAGGCCCAGGATACAAACCTGGTTCTTGAGCCCAGAGGCCCTGGACATAGTTCCCTGACCTTTCCCACCCCCATCCCAAGAAGGGGAACCCATTCCTCACCCGGCTTGGGTCGAAAGAGGAATTGTTCTGGTCACTCGGGCCCCAGGATCCCGAGGTGGCCCGGTCCTCAAGACCTGCAGGGCAAAAGTAATATCGAGAGCCACCCTTATCCCTGTGCAGCCATACTTGGCCAGCACCTAACCCAGCCAGTACTGACAACACAGTCAGGAGCCAGGGTCCCACACAACTCAGATCATACCTATAGGCCTGCAACTTAGCAGCTTGCTCTCTAGCTATCTTTGCCAGTGAACACCTATCCATATGTCAAAGTCCCAACCACTGTGCCCACTCTGAGAACCCATACTGGAATTCCCCCCACACACACACATACCAGGAATCAAATTCAGGACCTTGCACTTGCCAGGCAGGTGCTTGTGCTCTATCCCAGGCCATACTGGGAACCTTGCTCTGGCCTGACTCTAATCATACAGGATTGGGGCATGTGTTTTAGGCACACTCTATTGAACCTTTCAGAAAGGCTCACCAGGCCCTCAAAGGATGGGTAAAGAATAATGAATTCTAGTCCCTGGCAAGCACGATGTGTGACTGGAAAGTGGGTTGACTCTCCAACAACCCACTGCTGCCATCAGTACTGCAGGGCCTCCCTTAGGGCGGTGGACTACCTACCTTTCAGTGCAGCAGGAGGGCAAAAGAAGGCCCCAGGGTTGCTGTGCCCTGCCCTGTGAGGACAAGGTTTTCCCTGAGAAGCAGGGCAGGGTGGGTGCGGCCTTATCTCCCAGAACATTCGAGATGTGTGGCTACCTCTCCATCAACCTACTGCTGCCATCAGAGCTGCAGACCCCTACTGTCTCTCATGGCAGGATGCCCAACTCCCTGGCCAGGGCCCCATCTCCTTCTGGGGCTCCAGAGTACAGTTCTCTGCAGAACAGAAGCACCGTCTCTGGGATCCTTCAGCCAGACCCCTTGGTGTGCCTGCCCCCCCATAAATGAGGTCATAAACAGACCCTACTTCACAGGCCGGGGATGTCTGTGTCCTACTAGGACACCCTGGGCTCCCCAAGTTACTGGCCCTGCTTCCCTCACCCCCCTGCATCCTCTCTGCCCACCTTCACATCTTTCAAATCTCATCCTTCTATTTCTGTGCCTCGTGTTAACCATTATCCCAAGAGAATTGGTGTTTAATTGCTGTCTAATTTGCATAATTATGCATATTAATCAAGTCTACTGAATATTCGTGTTTCATTTAGATTTTGTTTTCAAATCAAAATTTCCAGCAAGATTATGGGTGGGGGCTGGGAGCCTGCCTGGGACAGCAAGGACCAGAAGGAGCTCCAGGAATCTGCCTGCCATCTGTTGCCCAGTTTAGGGGTATCAGTACCCCATGAGCTTGAATGCCCTCATGGGTTCCTGGGGAGGGAGGAGTAGACTAGCTAGGTGACTCTTGTGCCCTTTTAACCTGCCCCCATCCCTCTCTGCTACTGACAGCCCCCTTGGCCAGCCAGGGACATGACACTGTCCACACTCAGGACACCTGTAGTGAGCTCTAGAGGAGCCATGACCCTTGAGCAAGGATACACAACTCCTTCCCATGACCACAGTGTAGGCCAGTCCTGAAGAGCTCTCAACCCCAGCACTCCCAGAGCCTAGCCGCAATGATGGCCTGCCTGGGTCCCTAGATGCGCCCTGCTGTGCCCTTTGGCACACTCCCTAGCCAGCCCTCATCTTCCCTCCTCTGCAAGGGACAAAAATCAAGAGCTCCTCCCCCACACACTAATTCAGATATTAAAATCCCCACTGATTAATTATGCATTTTAATAACCCACATGAATATTCATTATACCATCCTTCCTCATACACTAATTAAAAGATGTTAATAAAAGAAGATGATCAGAATTGGGCACCATTTCCTATGATTTTATAAATTCTGGAGGAAGCTTGCGTGGCAGGGGTGGGGAAGACACAGTTCAGAAAGATGCCCAGAGATGGGAACCTGAGGCCTGGCTCACCCTGCTTAGGTTCTGAGTGGAGTCCCCAGGGGGACAGAGCTACCCGCCTGCCCAGGGAGCTGCAGCTGCAAGAATAACCTGTGGCGGCAGCAGCAGCAGGGAGGATTCCCCATCCCCTTAGGGTATTCTCCTGTTTGAGCCCTGGCTGGCCTAGGCAGATGTTACCTTCCTAAGAGAGGAAGCGGGTTTCAGAATCCCTCAGGAAGTGCTAGTTCCAAGTACCCAGAGATGCCAAACTCCAGACCAAGTCTGTGCCCCATGCTCTTTTCTGTGAATAAAGTTTTATCAGGCAGGGCACAGGGATGCACCTGTCATCTCAGCAGGCAGAGAGGCTGAGGCAGGAGGATCAGCTCTGGCTCAAACCTAGCCTGGGCACCCAGTAAATTAGCAAGCCCCTGTCTCAAAATTAAAACTTAAGAAAAAAGGGCTGGGGATGTAGCTCAGTGTAAAGACCGTGGGTTCCATTCCCAGTATTGCAAAAGGAAAAAAAAAAAAAACCAGCTTCACTGGCACCCAGCTCACGTGTTCACAGACAATGGTGGAACTGAGTCACTGTGACTGACATCCCCAGCTACACAGATGAAATAACCACTCTCTGGCCCATTAGAAGACAGGCTGCCTTGGCATGGAGGAAGACCGCAGTGCCTGATCAAAAGATCTCAGTGCCAGGCACAGGACTGTGCCAGAGACAGCAAGACACAGGGCAAGATGATGTTGGGCAAGCCCTCTCCCAGGCTCCATCCTGCCTGCTTCTCTTTCCCATCCACTGCCTCAAAATGGCCCAACAACAGCTACAGCCCAGGGTCAGGAACCCTGCAGTACCCTCCAATCAGGGCCCTGAGGATGCTGTCCCCAAGAAGCCTGATGGGTTTTCTAGAAACCAAATCCTGCACCCTCTCTTCCTAACCCTCCACAGCTCCCTGTCATGGTTTGCGTTGAGGTGTCCCCCCAAAGCCTCATGCAGTCATGGGGCTGCTTCTAGAGGTTGTGATTAATTCATGATCCAATGCTGGGATTAAGGATGTGAGTGCTGCTGGGATTAAGGATGTGAGTGGGGCAGACAGTCTGAAAAGCAATTTACAGAAGGGGGACATGCTTGGCTCTGCTCCTGTTTTGTTTTCTTTTTTGCAGTACCAGGGATTTAACTCAGGAAGTTGTGCTTGCCAGGCAGGTACTTAGTCTCCCAAGCTAGCTCCCTGGCCCTACTTACTCCTCTGGTTTTTCTCTTACTGCTTTGCTGGCATCCTCTGCTATGTGCCATTCTGCCTTGGGCTGAAATCTCCATGAAGTGTGAGCTAAATAAACCTCTCCTTCCTTAATTTTGGGTGTCCCAGCAACATCCCAGCAACAAGAAAATAGTAACTGAGACACTCCCCAAGGCTCTCAGCAGAAGACCAAACTCCTGTCCTGTTTTTTTCTCCCTCCAACAGAGCTGGCCTTGCCTGTACCACTGAGCTGCAACCCCAACGCTTTTTTTTAAAACTAAGACAGGGTCAGGCATGGTGGCACACACCTGGAATCCCAGCACTCAGGAAGCTGAGGCAGGAGAATCCCCACAAGTTACAGGCCAGCCTGGGCTACGTAGTGAGCTTAAGATCAGCCTGCACTACATAACGAGACCCTGTCTAAAAAAAAAAAAGAAAGGGGCCAGGGAGATGGCTCAGTGGAATAAGCATTTCCCTGGCAAGCGCAAGGGCCTGAGTTCAATCCCCAGTGCCATCAAAAAAAAAAAAAAGAAAAAGAAAAAAATTGAGACACAGTTGATGAAGTTGCCCAGGTTGGCTTTCATCTTGTGATCCTTGATCTTGCCTCAGCCTTCCAGATAGCTGGGATGACAGTTGTGTATCACCACAGCTGGCCCACATCTGCAGGCCTCCACATCTGCAGATGCCACATCTGTGGTATCCACCAAGCTAAGATGGAGAACGTGCAGAAAAAAGAATGTACCAGACTGAACGTGTGACTCCTGTACTTGAGATCACTCCCCAGACAACTCGGCCCAGCAGTGACGGACCCAGTATCTGCACCATTCGAGATGCAAGGAGTCCTCTAAGATAACTCACAGTGGGGGCTGGCGGGATGGCTCAGTGGTCTGGAGCACCTACTTGGAGCAAGCTTTAGCAAAGCAGAAGGACCGCGGTTCAATCCCCCAGCACCACATGCCAGCCAGGGCTGCCCCCTGGTGGGCTGAGCTGGCCACACACACACACACACACACACACACACACACAAATAAATAAAAATTAAAAAAAAAAAAAAAAAGATAACTCACAGACTGCTGGACGATGGTGCAGGTTCTACACAAATACCAGGTAATTCTACACAAGGGACTAGAACTTCCACACATGTTGGTGTCCCCAGGGATCCTGGGACCAATGCCCCATAAATAGAGAAACAATTTCAGTAATTATGACCACTTCGGTCACAATGACACACCACGATCCCACCTAAAACACTGAACAGTGCCGGGCACAGTGGCAGATGGCTGCCTTCCCTGTTATTTGGAATGCCGAGGCAGGAGGACCACTGTGAATTTAAGGCCAGCCTGAGCTCCTCAGTGGGTTCAAATCCAGCCTGAAATGCACAGGGAGACCCTGTCTCAAAAAAGAAAAAGAGTAAGTAAAACAAAGAAAACAACTCTTCATCTGCAACAAGGAATTTATCATTCTCCAATGAAGCTCAACTCCAGGGGAAATTTTTATATTTATTTATTTATTTATTTATTTATTTTTTGCGGAACCAGGGATTGAACTCAGGCCCTTGTGCTTGCCAGGGAAGCGCTTATTCTACTAAGCCATCTCCCCTGCCCCGGAAACTTTTTCTAAATTATGTAAGTACCTACCATATATGGAAAATATGTATTACTAACACCCGTGGGATATGGCTACTGGGGACTCTGAGGAAAGTGCATAATCCTCAGCACCCTGGTTATTAAATAAAAGAGAACAGAGTAAAAAAATAAAATAAAAATTAAAAAAAAAACAACAAGGTCTTCAATTTAAGTCTGGGTAGGGGGTGGAAAAAAAAAACCTTAGGAGGAGGGAGTAAGATCAAAGTAGAAAAGGAATAGCAAGCAGTCAATGGGAAAAATATCGGTTTCCCAATCA